ACTTCCAACTCATAACGTGCCTTGGTGCAAGGTGCCACCAATACCCGCCATTCTACATCTAAGTCAATTAGGATTTGACACTTCTCTATTACGAGGTGATGCGCGACTTTTGCCATGGCTTCTCTAAAACCGATTGAGTGGTTACAAGATGAGTAATCTCCCATTCGGGTTGAGTAATAATAATTGAACTAAATTGGATGGATACAAGATAGTTGCCAATCTTAGTCATATTTTCACACTTGCAATGCAATGTCTTGCTGATCATCTGGAAAAACCAACCATCATTCATTAATCATTCAGCACACAATTCACCCATTCTTTAGCACAAAATATCATTTAATTCTACACACGCTGCATTTAATCTATGAAGACGTGGATTTAGTTCATAAAACATCATCCACCCATTCTGGTAGATGATCCACTAATGCACAAAGTTTCTTACTTAAATGTACAGTTGAATGATCTATCACCAAGAAAAAGAGTAATGCTACATAAACTTAAAATTAGAGTTAATAACCACAACCATTGAATAGTTAGTGAGTTTCAATACATACTAGGACCCATAATGAAATCAATTGTTATAATTATCAAGTCTAATTTTTAAGTTCATAAAACATTGCTCCAAGAAAAATAGACAAAATATATTGGAAACAGTAACACGCTCAAAAAAAAAATAGTAACATCAAATAGTAACACGCTCAATAAAAAAATGGTAACATCAAACAATAACATGCTCAATAAAAATTTAATCATTGTAATAGAGTGATACCCCTACAACAGAATAAATACACACATATGATGTCATTCTATTACAATGATTAAATTTTTATTAAAACTTATTTGCGTATGTGTGTATATATATAATATAGAAAAATAATTTTAATGCTAACACAATTTTCAAGTTAGCAGTTGTTATATTTAAAAACATTGAAACTAACAATAATAGACAATATTTATGATAGGGGTAATTATGGAATACATTTCAAAAAGAATTTGAAATATTTTAAAATGTGTACTTATTGACAACTATTTGATAAAAAATAGGACTTAATGGAAGATAAGTTTAGAGGTGATATTTCAAGTCAAATAAGTTCTAAAAAATGTACCCACATCCCATTATCTCCAATTTAAATAGTGATAATTGGGGGTCAGTTTTAGTTAAGAATAGTAACAATTGAAGGTGAGTCTCTCTAAATGGACTTATAATAAATTGAGTCCTTGAAGGAAACTTATTTGAGAGTAAGTTCATATTTAAACTTATATGTAGGTACTTGTGTCTACTTATTTTTTAAATCTAAAAATTATCCCTGACGGTGTTAGTTTTGTCAAATTATGTAAAGTCACATATGTTAGATCATTAAGGTATATATAGAAATCGTTAATTGAGTTATATATGGAAACCGTTTATTAAATATTATGATAATTAATGAAAGTTTTATATGGAAGTTATATATTTTGATAGTTATATATGGTAGTTTGATGTACGAATAAGTCGTTGATCTATTAAGTCAAAATCAAATCAAAAATTTCTTTAACAATTCAAATTTTTCTTAACATTAGTGCTATTATAGTGATACAAATGAGATTATTTTCCTTAAAATACTCAATACTCAAAATGAAAAATTCCACTATTTCAAATAATAACACAAATCTAACCCCAATTTTGATTTTACTCTTCAAGGTTACTGTGGAATCAATTGACAAAGTTACAGTTGATTCTTTATATTCAAAACAATTTCACAAATTTGAGATTCAGAAATAGAGTTAAGGTATGTGATTTTACATTAAAGTTGATGTTCATTGTAGGTTTTTAAAAAACTTATACATAATATATAGTTCAAACTGTCCGGTTTTTTTTCTCATTCCTAATTTAAAATTTGAGATTTATTATTACTAAATTAAAGTGTTATATAATTCGATTTTGTTGTTTTCTTTGTTGTGCAAGACATTCGAAATATCTTAGTTATGTGTATGTGAAATAAATCATGTTATTGTGTGATAACTGAAAAATATATTTTAGAATTTCGATGTCTTGATGTTCTTGATTGGTGTTGAGTGTCCTAATTCAACTGTCAACTATGTATTACTATTAGAAATTATGTAAAATTTTAATTTGTGGATCGTTTTTTCACTATAATCTTTAAAAAATTGATGTTACTGTAAAAACCCTATTGCCATATATTTTGTAAAAGTCGATGTGTTATTGAGCACAAATTTTTGAAGTTACTGTGAAAATTAAATGTGTATGTTACATAATATATGTCTAAAGGTTTACAATTAGTAGTGTAAGTGAAAAATTGAGATTGAGATTGTGTAACTATTTGAAATGATGAAATTCTTCATTTTGACTTTTGAGTATTTTAAGAAAAACAATCTCATTCATGTCACTATAGTAACACTAATATTAAGGAAATTTTGAATTGTTAAGGAAATTTTGTGATATGATTTTTACTTAATAGACCAACGATTTATTCATACATTAAGCTTTCATAAATAACTATTATAATAGATAACTTTCATATAAAACTGCCGTTAATTATCATAATATTTAATAAACGATTTTCATATATAACTCAATGATCTAATCTATGTGAAAGAGACAATAAGTTAGACATCGGTAATTGTTTTTTCAAATGGTAGGGGTACAATAGTAAACTTGACAAAAAATAGACTTAAAATCAAATAAGTTTCCTTACTGAACTTATCTCCAAATAGTCTATATAGGAAACTGGCCTCCAAATTTTCCTTAAGAATACTAGACTTTTAAGTTCATGTCTTAAACATATTTGTCATTAAATTCTAAATTAGTATTCTTATTTGATAGTTAAGTCCATTCTGATTTTTTTTTATTACTAAAACACCCTTATTGATTGATTTTAATACTATAAGGAGTTTTATTGTTGAGCCTAGTCAACTTTTTTGTGCAAAGAAGTTGGAGGTTTTCCCCAAACCCATGTCCCCTTAAAACTTAACTCCCAAAATCAGTCACTTTTAAACTTAATTCCTAAACCTAGTCTTTTTTTTAAAATCGTCATTTGAAATGACGTCTTCGCACCTGAAAACGTCATTTGAAATGACGATTTGAAGTTTAAATTTTTTTTCTTGAAAATGTCATTCCAAATGACGTTTTTTAAGTCGTCATTCAAAGTGACGTTTTTAAACATGATTTTTTAAGCGGTACTAATAGACGTTAAGATTACAAAAGATTGAAAACGTCATTTTAAATGACATCTTTAAAGACGTCATCTCAAATGACGTTTTCAGCCCCTTTGTCCTTACGTTTCTATCCCTTAACTTTTTACAATGACATTTTCTTTCAACCCAACTTGGAGGTAAAATTTAGGATTAACTATGAAATTTACCATATTTTTTTTATAAAATATTATAAATGCATCAAATAAATTTTAATTTTACAAATGCATCGATATTCTAATCAATTTTAATATGATCGTAAATTGAGTTCTCGACTTACAATAATTTTTTAAAATATCGAACACCGGTCATTAAGTGATTGGTTTTCTAGCATTTTTTTTTTTGAATAAAATGTTAAATGTTTGTTTAATAAAAAACCCTAAATACCTAAAATTGTTTTGCTCACGTTCTTTTTAAGAGGATGAGTTTTTTTTTATTTATTTAAAAAATTAATTGCATTCAATAAATAAATTGTGATAATTTTAAAATGCTTGTATTTTATTTGTAATGTTGATCATGTCGATATTAATGTTTAATCAACTGTGGAAAAATATAAGTTATTCAGAACGTATTAATGTAAAAAAAGGATGTCAATAACGTGGTTGATATTCAAAACAAAACAAAGGATTATCGAGTACACATAAACATGATGAGATAAAAGTGTCCGACGCATCATTGTCCAAATCAGAGAAATCAAAAAGTTCAGGATCAGAAACTAGTAATGGATCCTCTAAAATTTAAATTTCAGCATATTCAAGATCAAAATGTTCTATTTTTGCATAATCGATGCATAAAAACGATCTAGACGACGCTGCATTTAATCAATTTCACGTTCAAGGATTGAAATGATCTCATCATGATTGTTTGAATTCTGTGAATTATAAATATCTGCCGAACGTGCCTTTGGTACTGCAATTTCATGCCAACGATAAAATACTTCAAGGTCACAACGTTTGTCATATAACTGTCGTCATCTTGGTATGGGTTCGATATGAGAACCTGAAGGTGGATAATCAATTGCAGGGCCAACAATTACATAACTAGCTTGACCAAATGGGTGATAAGGGTCGATAAGCTCATTACGAAATGCACGTTTTTGTCTATACCACGTTACACCACTGGAGTCAGTATATGATTCGATAGAAAGAACTTTGTTCAACGATATTGAGTTGTCCGTTAAGCGTTCACATTTGTTACCCGAAGATGAACTGTCTTGGTCATTGCATGAAGAAGAACTCACATGTGATGTGCTCCTATACATTTTGTTTGGTGGCGATCCATTTACACAATTGTGAATGGTAGTACATATATGCTGGGTTCGACAATTAAAAATTGTAGTGAAAGGACATGAATCTACATACTTTGGAACTGATTTGATAGTGATGCAAAATGACAATGAAAAAGGTAGGATATGACAACACACTTCATAGATTGATAAAGCCACAAGATAGATTAAAGTAAATAGGACATTACACTACAAAGTTGAGAACTGATTTGATAATGATAGGATGTGACAATGAAAAAGTTAAGATATGACAACACACTAAATTAACTAATAAAGCAACAATATTAATTAAAGAAAATAGGATGTAGACATAAACATCATATGCTTAATAAGGTGGACACAAATTATATTTGTTAATTTTCATCAGACATATACTCATCTGATAGGTATTGTTCATTAGACAATACATTACATCGTTCAGTAGTTGTTATCTCCCTGCCAAATGCAGTTGCAACCATATCAAATACTATTTGGAGCATATAATATCGGTACTTACGCAACATCATCCTATTGTTCTCCTTTCGTGCACGTCTAACTGCTGTTTCATAGTTGACTCTATTCCTTTGGGGTATGGTAAGTGAAAGTCTATGTGGCACCAGTATACTAAATTCTCTTAGATTTGTGCATAATAACTGGGATTCATTAGCACGAAAAGCCCATTCTCGACGGAGGCCGACATAATACTCCTTTGGATCGAAAAATCTCTCACTCTTGTAATTATCATCTCGCTCTTGTAATAACCATACTGGTTCATGTCTACGGGTGATATCACCTACTCGTGCTCTTGA